TTCAAATCGATACAATACACCTCACTTGTTTCGTACTTGGTTTTGGATTGAAAATAAACATTGATTCGTCGCTTACAAAGAACAATGTTTATTCACAGTGCCTTATTTTGCTGATGATGTTATCATTCTTCCATTCCAGCCACCTCTTTATTCGACTACACCTAATGATAAACTCTTTTATGAACATGTCACTCATATTTCATTATTAGACATGCCGAACGATAGTTTACATCATTTTAATTATGTTAAAGCATTAGAACCTCAAAGTTTGATTTCATTGGAAATTCGTCAAACGAAAATTGATCTCAGTCGAGTAGAACATTTAATTTTACATTCATCAATCAATCCATCATTCGCTATACTTATTCCAAATGTTATGCCGCGTCTGAATAAAATATCATTGCTAGATAATATGAAAGATTTTCTTAAAAATACACACAATTTACAACCGTTAATACATATTTGATCTCTAATATAATCAATCTTGATGAAAAAAAACAATTTTAATATTGAACAACTATGTCGAATATGTGTGCGCATAGAATATTTATACGTATCTAAAATGACTTCAAGAATCATCATGGGTCATTTAATTGATGGATGGAAATATTTATCTAGTGCATCTTTTTATTTTCACGGGCTTTTCTCTCAGGTAATTGAAGCCTTTTTTGAAGAGCCAATGGCAGCTTTCACTACTTCAAGTTGGTTGATAAATGGTACATTTATTTGTCGATTCATTTGTCCATCTTTCTCTTTTTCTTCCGTCACTATTAATATTTGGATCGGAAATCAGGTATATTATTCATTCTATGTTTTTTTTTCTTTTTATATAATTTCTTCTGTTTGACTTTTATAGCCAATTCCGTCTATCCAGTTCTCTTCTTGAGTTTCTCATCGAGACTGTTTATGGTTTCGGTAAAAATATATTATAGGTCATTATTACTGTATTTCGATCATTTGTAGTTTCTTGATTAATTCAATTATTTTCTTTATCATTCTTAATATATATCCTAGTATGAAAATCTCAATAATCTTCTACGTTTTCAGTCACTTTGGATTATGTGTTCTTTTAGGTAGCTCTATATGGGCCAGCATGCATTTGTATATCGGTATTCACAATCTTACGTGGACAGTTCTTGTTGACTTAATAATCACTTTAACTTTTATAATTCCTTATTCTATAATGTTTGCTAGATTTCAATTGTCTACGACAAACTCTGTTAAACTTGCCGATTTTACCTTGAATTTCATTCAAACCCATGCACTCGGTTTTGTCTTACTGGGTTGGTTCGGTTGCAGCACAATGCTTATATTATAATGTTCTGAATCAGATTTAGGTTAGTAGTTTCTTTTTTTGTTAACATGAATAATTATTAATTTATTTTCTTATTTTTATTAGAAATACTGTAAATTTCTTAGATATTCTTTTCTTGTTATTATTGATCATAAGAATGTCCGTTGTTGCTCACGTCAATAATACACGACTAATCTATTTTCAAAAAATAAATTATACTTCATCTTTTTTCATTTTTGTCTCACATCACAGGGAGAAATGAAGTATTAAATCAGATGATTATATTGAATATTTAGCAGTTCGAGATTGTGACACGAAATCTAATGTCTATCCACTGTAGAGTGGGAGTATGCGCATGAAAGCAAAATTGCTGAAGTAAGAACTCTTTTATGCAACCATACAGAAACATCTTTTCAAGTTGTAATATGTGCATACCTGGGTACAAAAAACGCTTATGATCATTGTGAACGAAAGCAGTACAACGAAAAGAAAGAAGAAAAAAGAAAAATTTGCATACGTGTCATTGGTAGTCAGCACATTCTTGCATTTTTTCTGTTCTGACTTGTATTTTTAACAGATATACTTCAAATATCTCTACATCACATCATCCCTTACTCTATGACAGCATAATTGTAATGATAAAATGAAGAAGCAGCTGTGCCATCATTCTCAAAAATAATATTCATTAAACTACTTCGATACACGCAAATGTGAAGAGAAGATCTTTCAGCTTTTAGCTGATTTACTCTTTTCCACTATAATGAAGGTAGATCGATATCTTTTTGTTTTTGAAGAAATGCCATCATCAATGGATAATCCTTCGAAATATACGTTTGTTGATGTCGTTGAGCGTGTATGAAAAGACAAAGCTCCGAGCAATCTCCAGTATTTAGTAAATAAAAGAGTTAATAGATTGTTATCTAGCATTCCTTTTAACTTACACATTTATTGAGGAGATGTAGACGAATAGCAAACATAAAAGTAATCATTATTCATAGAGATGATATCGAAATAGATTGTTATGATTGGCAATGAGACAACAAAGCTAGTCGAAAACGATTGCAGACTCAATGATTTTAGAAGACAGCTTTTTGAAACTCATGATGCAAGAGTAAACGGAAGTAAAAGTGAAGTAATTATTTCAAATGAAATTCTCAACATGCTTTATTTGATTCGTGGATGATACTAATGAAACTTGTTAATAACGAAGATATAATTTTCCATTTTGCACGAAATCAATCGAATTTGTCTCTAATATAAAAGGTATACAAACTTGCTTTTCTTTACTTGCTTGACATTATTGGAGCAAAGATTTTTCTAAAGGTCGAATTATTTTCTGACAGTTTCATTTGAGGAATTCATCGAAAGCCTAAAACAAATATGATCTTTACTTGTATCACTGATTGTATGGGATATAGATAGCTTGGTTTATAATAAAAATCTTAATCTTCATCAACGACTCTCAATAGCATTTGTTTTCAATTCTCGAAATAAAATCGAAAGAGTCAAATAGGCCATACAGCAAGTGAATAAATCGAATTTCCTAATAAAATTGCCAATCTCTTCTGTATCAAACACAAATTTTATTAATATTGAAATTGACATCTATTTCAATCAACTTGCAATAGAAATAAATTAAAATAACATCGATTCAAATGATCTATTGATCATAGTGGGTTTTCGATCAAAAGTGCATTAATGATACTCTCTTCAATGAATGAATTAATGAATGAGAATGAAACTAATAGGTCATGTAGCTCTCAACTCATGACATGTATAAAAAAATAAAAAGCAAGCTTTGGTTTAAATTCGCAAGACAAATACTGACGATTCTAGTAAATCTATGAGCAGTAACGCAGATAAACAGCTGATAATATCATGTCTATCTACACTTTATCCGGATCGAGAAAACATTTCATTATCAACACAAATCGAATTACGTCAATGGGTGATAACTCTTCTTTTCTTCAAAGAAAATGAATGCCTCTTGTTAAGATACACTGGAATAGATTTAGTGCAATTCATGTAATCGGATTTTCGTCATACAATCGGTTAAGATGCATTCATAATTGACTTGACTTGGTAAAGTACTATCACAACATTTGCATTGACACTATGATTGAAGATAAGAAACATATCTAGAATAGTTTTCTGAAATGCAATCAATGATCAATAGAACAGCAGGCAAAAGGTTGAGCAGAGTCATAAATATTTCGAATTGTGTAGAAATGATCATAGTAATTGAACTTCAAACACTATTCTTCACTAAAATGATTACATTCGGAGAAAAAGAGTTCATTCAAATGACGAAGCAGTTAAGTAAATGAAAGAATTTGCAGACAAAACCAAAGCAACTTTCCATGACAATATCTTTTTTTCCTACGAAACTTTTGTAACAGTTTTGAAAAAACTAACATTTGTGATTTCGTCTTGACTGTCTTGATTTTGAAAAATAATTAATAAAAAGCAAAAAGAAAGTTTTTGAAAACCCGATAACTCATCGTTTTTCTGTTCTAGTTTAGTAACGATAATGCTGAAAAATTTAGCAAATGACTTGTTGATTGCAGTCTTTCACATATGATTTTATTAGATTGTCTTAATTATTTAATCAAATGAACAAAAACTACGCTTTTTCAATGTCCTAATTTTTTGAGCGTGTTCAAAGATCTATTTAATTCAACCTCACTGTAACATGAAACTTGCATTGACGATTCTCGCCTTGTTCGAGTTCAACTGGCAAGTTGAGTTGGTTTCCTTGGACATTAACAGTCTTACATGTTGTATCAAGAAGCATTATTTGAACACCTCCTTGGAGAACAAGTTGAGCGTTGACAGCTTTGTTCTTAAAGTTTCTAACCTGAATATCGATTTCATAAGTTTCTAATGATACTGGTGCCTTGTCATCAGTCTTTGATGTCAAGTTGCCCTTTACCATATAGCGAACATCATTGTCTTGACCAACGGTAAAGGTTTGTGTGTAATTTTCTGGAACATCTGGCAAACTAGCTTGACCAACAAGTACTTGATTGTCACGAATAGTGATAATACCAGCGGGCATAAAATGATCAGGTGTTAAATCGTAAGTTCTTGCAAAGGTACCTTGATACATTCCTGTGTTGATGTTTGTCAATGTTTTGTAATAGAATTGATATTTGGCAGCAATATCAATAAATGGTAAACGAATAGAACTTGATGGACGAAGTGTATACTTGTCGTTCAATACATACGAATACAGACCTTTTTGTTCACCACTAGCTAGAATTGGTCTCAAGCTCATAGAGAACTTATCAGCCTCAAATCCATGAGGAATAGGATTCGGAGATTCGGTAGCTAATTGCACATCACCACCTAAGAGATTAGTCATCTCAACTGTATATTCTCGTTGTTGGCTATTCTTGATATTTGCATAGGCACGAAGTTTGTAATCTAAAATGGAAAGATGTATTCAATAGAAACAAAAATTTTAATTGAAAAATAGTCTACTTACCATTGTTGCCTGTCAACAACAAATCATAACTTGGTGTCCATGTGATTCCTCTCATTAAATAGGACAATGTTCCTTTATATTCTGTTTTGTCAGTTTGAAATTCAAGCGACAATGTTGTTGAACCCTCGTTTGGTCGTACTGATGTATATTCGATTGAGCTTTTATCAGCATAGAAATATGCTCCTGTCTTTAAATTTTGGAGCAACATTGAATTAGGGTCGACAATTTTTGCTTCAATTGCATCACATGCGCACACTGTGGATCGTCGTACTGTTACTCGAGCATCTTGAAGTGATTGAATTGTATTGTAGACTTCTTGTCGAGCTAATGGTGTACCTTCCCAACTGATCGATCCATCAATTACATTTCCATAATCAGCATTTGTAAATTGATTTGCGTAGGTACCGACTCCATTGCAAACTTGACGAACTTCAGTAAAACTTTTGTAGATAGATAATTCAACAGCGAATAATGATTGACAGAGATAGACAAGGAAAAAATAGAATAACAACATATTGTTAATATGCCTAGAACAAGAAATTTATCAATTCACATACATACTCTTTAAAAGTTTAAAAATTTTAGGCTTTGATAGAAATTAAGTCTTTTTTCGGCTCTATGTAGAACGTTTTACAAAATCATAAAAAATTCTGCATCAAATCAAAATAAGGCTCCGATTTTCTACCAGTGAACAGAACCAGACAAGGTTCTATTCAATACCTATACTTTTACAGAACACATGCACATATATATATATATGCATATAAGAGTCACCATGAAACATCAAACACTATCATGTGGTGGACTCTCCCACAAATCCAATGCAGATAAAAAAGTATACGATGTGGTATCAAAACCTAGATATTGTTTGAAAAATAAGTTTATTCTATTCGTTCGATCTTTAATCTTTGATATGATGCGACTTGGTCCTCCCTCCTATGGTTGAAAAAAAAACCTAGATTCACACTCTCTATTCACATCCACGCATATATTTAAAAGATAAATACAAAAAGTGGGAGAGAGAAATAGACGAATAAGTACGACATTGTGAAAAACAGAATTATAGAGATAGAAGAGAAAAGTAAAATATGTCATAAAATCTCTTGGCTGCTGTTCGTATTTAACACATTCTCATGGCCTTTGGATGAAATATCACACCCATCACCATACATCATATAAAAAGGTATTAACTCCAACTAATATGACATTGTTTTTGGAGATAGAAAGAAAGAAAATAAAAACAAATGATTGAAAGAAGTGCATGTTGTGTCTGTATAATGGATATGAATGTTGGTGAACATAAAGCCCAAACAAAAATACTTACACCCATACCCGCACTCTATTCTTACTATTTTATGATTCTCCTGATAATTTATTTAGAAAAGCGTGAAATATTTTTATTATAAACAAGGGAAAATATAAATATATCGCGAGCATATTAATAAGTAAGTTCTGAACTTTAACAAGAACAAAAGAAGTTCATTGGTTTTCTCTCGATATTGTCAAGCATAGTCTTTCTTATCGGATCATCAATCGAAGACTACTACACCAACAAGAAATTTTAACCAATGGCTGTATATCTAACAATTGCTTTTGTAACCAATTGGCAAACTCATCTTCTATTGAATTTTCTTCTTGCCTATTGTCTAAACATTTGATATTCATAAATCGTAGATTGTGCATTATTTTAATTAGATAACATATAGAAGTTCGATGTTTTACAGTAATTTCAAGTTCTTCACATTGCTCATCATCATACCATTCACAAAATTCTTATATGTCAAGTCGTTTCACTAATGAATCCTTGGTTTCTAATGGTAGTTTTTCTAGAAGATCACTATTGGAAGACGTCAAAGTGTCTAATAACGATAGATATGATGCACGAAAAAGTAAAAGGTAAAGTTGTTTTGTACATTCTTCACTGCTATCATGCACTCTCTTATATGGAGTGACGTTAAATGATCAAGCATAGGAACAATTGACTAAAATTAATTATTAACAAGAAATTTTATGTTCAGATTTTCTAGTTTTGTAAAATTGAATATCGGATACGTAGGGACATATCGAAGGTTCAACATCGTATAATAATGTACGTACACAATCATATGACCATAAGTTTTCCTCTTCAGGACAAATGGACTTTCCGAACAATGGGTCCCTGATGTAAAAATTGTCAAAAAACATATGGTAAAGTATAGAGAGTGGAAATTTCTTTCGATGGATTCCAATCACATAGAACAAACCAGTCATGTTCATCAAGTCAAAATGAACTTCGAAATGTATTAAATAATTGATCGACTTGTTCTTCGATTATATTAACGTTTATCAACCCTTGTCTCTCTCTAAGATTGAATATTTTGACGAAGGATAAAAAATAAAAATCAATAGCACTATGATATTTTTTGATTGTTTCGAATTAAATCAGATTTTGACAAGAAAATTTACTCATCAGTAAATGAAATAAACGTCGCGAAGATTATTCATCTAATAATATCTTGAGGCATTCAAAAACGACAAATGAATCATCGAAATTGAGTGCGGATCTAAGTGCATTGAGTAGTTCACTGACTTGGAATACGCATATTTAACCTAAGTTAACTCATAGTAATAGAGATGTACTTCGATGACATCGTCATACCTCCAATATACTAAAATTGCATAGGATGTGGGCTGGGCTTAGAAGAGAAGAATGTATCAACATCTATGCCCTAATTTGATGCAGAATAAATATGTCTATCATTTGACAAGAAAATGACTTGAATTATTTTGAGAATTTCAGGTGCATGTCTGCATCAATCAATATCGTAATGATATTGATTCTTCTCTCGAAAATCATATAAAACTACAATCTTTCTAAGGTAAATTTTTAATGAATTATAATCATGACGTTAGTAAAAAAAAATTAGAATCTGTGCGTTTTTTTTTGTCAAACTTTTCGAATCTCCGTTTATCAAAGTTGTTTCAAGTGCGTATATACAAAGCTGAAATTCTTATCACATATACATCAAATCAAGATCTTTAATTTTTCCAAGTTTGAACTCTCTAGCTAAAACTAATACTGAAATACATAGTTTTTTCTATTTCGTATTTGTAACATGTTTATTTCTTGAATAGAAATATTTAGAAATACTAGATAAAAAAAAGATTTTACCAAACAATTATTGTACAAAGATACAAATTATAATAAAATCCAGTGTTATAAGCATGCTCTCCAGTGTTTTCTACATTCGGATGTAATTGATAAGGTATTTCGTCCATCATTTTGGATATGGGTGTATGAGCAGATAAGAATGAAACCTACACTCTCACGATTGACTAAATTATAAAAAAATCCAATACGAAATTTCATGTATTTCAATTTAAGTCAAGCGTTTCAGTACTAGTTTAAGTTAGAGAGCTCAAACATTCGAAAATTAAAGAACTTGGTTAGATATACATATGGCAAACATTTCAACTTTCGACATCAAGAAAGTATGAAAAATATCATTGACAATTTATCCTTAGCTATTATAGGATACTGTTTATCGATGGCAAAAAAAGTCGAGCTCTTTCAATCTCAATAAAAATTTACACGATTACTTATGAAGTTTTTTTTTTTATTAAAAAAAGAATTTTATCTGACACAAAAATGAATTAAACATTAGAATAGAAATCATCTTGAAGTGTACAAGCAAGTGCACGTAATGGTGAATCAATCATTCGAGGTAAAAATGGTTTAAGAACAATTGAAATAAATTGTTTTGTTTGATTAAATTCTGTTTTTAATTTAATAATATGTTCCATTTTAATCGAATCAAAACCTAATTGCCATCGACGTGCAAATATAGTAACAATTTCAAATAGTTTCATTAAATGATCACGTATTGCTTGTTGTTTAGGTTGTAATAAACTACCAATTGAAAGAGCTGTAAGAAATTTGTCATGATACATTATCATAGATTCAATATCAATTGATTTATTCGAATGTTTTTCAATAAATTGTTCACCAGATGTATGAAACTAAACAGAAGAAGAAGAAAACAGTTGTTTAAATTCAAATTTTGATTTCAAATACATACAGTTGTAAGAACAAAATTATTAACAGCATTGACAGCATGAAGAAGACGAGCACGTAAAAGAAACATTTCATGATGAAGATGATATGATTGATGACGATATAATCGATGATTACGAATGCGAGATTTAACACGAAATTCTTCAAAAAATAACAGCAATAGAAAACTTCAATATACTATTTAAAAGAATAATTTTTTTAGCTTTTAAGTCAATTTCTTTCAGAAATTAAACAATTTAGTTCTTATGAACGTTCTAAACATAATTATTATGTGATGACAGAATTCAAATATCACAATAAAATGTAGTTTATCATGATACGTTTCTCGCGATTAAAATACCAATTTATTCATCAATTTCAGCAAGAGATATAAACATACTATTCAATCTATAACAATAGTTGTACACTAAAACAATTATGTTACGCCTATATTTGATAACAAGAGAAAGAAAGAACTTATGTTTCCTAGTGTATAGCGTCTAAAAAAATGCATATGAAGAAAATTGTAGAATAAAATCAAATTTAAAATCCATATCAAATAATAAAAAGTATTTTTTATTCTATTTTTATAATCATTTAATTGATTCTTAGTTACAAGCTTACGAAAGAATATTTTAAATCTGATTTTTTAATGGTGAAAATTTTTCGTTTATAATCATCCTGTTACTAAGAATTTCAGTTCATTGACGTATAACCAATCTATTAAATTGTTATCTCCTATCAGTTCGACTATTTGACATGTAATAAAATTTAATCAAGTGCATAATCATATTTTACCTTTATTCGCACTATCGATGTATAAAGAGAATAATTAACTGTTTAAGTATCAAACTACCGAAGGTTTTTGTCCGGTTCAAATCACATGGATGATTTTTTTAATTCTTACTATAAACTATCACAAACAAAAGATATAGCTGTTTTTTTTTGTCATACCACTAAAAACTAATTGATCAAGAACATATTTTGCTTGTTTAACTTGAAGAACAAATGCAAAACATTTTTGATAAATTTCCATTTGTTCTAGTTTAATAATAATAAATAATTCTTTTGGTAAATCATATTTTAATTGAATATTTTGTATAATATATTTTTGTATTGTTGATGATTCATTTGATGATTGAAATACAACACTTAATGGATATGAATTTTTATCAAGACCAAACATTGTAAGTGTACTATCAAATGAAACAAGTACAGTAAATGCATCTAAACGTTCATGGATTGTTTGTGATAATTTTGAATAAAGACGTAAAGCAAATTGATGCATAAATGAACCATTTTCAAAAAGAAAAAAATCTCTTATATATTCAATATGTTTTAAATATTTCAAACGATTAAGTATATCATTTGTTAATTCATCAATTAATTGATTACATTTCATAAGTAAAATTTGTTGACTAAAATTTTGAAGAATACATTCAATATTTATTAATTGATTAATATCCGATGAACGTGATAATTGAGTACTTTAAAAGAAAAACAAGATAGAATCAATTTAAATATACAGATTCACCTAAAAGTCATTTAACCGAAGAAAAAATGGAATACTTCCACTATAGTATAACTGAATAGACTGATTTTTTACCGATGATAAAGGAATGTTCATGGTTCATATCTTGAAGGAAAATATTGAAAAAAAAAATAGTTTTGACGTATTATTACTGACTTGGACATAGAAATGCAGTCATTCTCGATGACTGAAAAATATAGGAAAGTCCAACAACAAAAAAGTAATTGTACATTGGCTTTTCTCTGAGAATAGTCAATAAATAGCTAAAATCTTGATTCTTTTGCTAGTTCATAAGGAAGTGAGATATTCGTGAAAAAAATTTTGGGTCCACAAGAAAGTAGACTTGCGATCCCCTGATGCCTCCTGTTGGTTAACAGTTTAAACCCATGTTTCGTCAAATNGAAGAAGACGTGCTACTCGATAACCATAATTTTCTTGATCAGAAAGAACAGCTAAATGAAGTGGTGTTCGACCATAGAAATCTTTTTCGTTTACATTACAACCAACTCTATTGATAAGTAAATTTAATTGAGACAGACGTCCATCTAAAATTACTTGATGAATTGATGTCATCTATGGTTGTGTGCAAATATGCACACTGATGGCGATGGCGTACAGCTGATAAGTAAACTATTGACTATTTTCTGTGTTAAAACTAACAAAGAAACATATATAGGATTAATTTAATGGCGTAAAAGGTTGACTTACAAAGAAAAGTCAAAGTCTTTTTTTTTATGAAAAGAAGTGTAGAATTCTACTTCTGAAAAGAACATTACTTCTCTATCAAAATAAATATATATATCTTTTTATTTTGCTATATGATGGCAATCATTGGTTTAAGGCATATCAGTCTTCATTTTTTCTAGGTGAGAAAGAAACTGTTAACTTAGTTTTTTCATTGTATACACATGTATTCTAATTGATTATATACAGGGTTTTGAATAAACATTTGATTCACACAAATAGAAAACGAGAACAATGCAAACAATACTTTTTCTTTTTTTAAAAGTATATATTCCACCAAAAGCATGCCCTACTCTTTTTCTTTTTAACACATGTTGATTTAGGCATAGTTGTTCTCCTTTCTTTTATATTCACATTACTTGAGGCATCTTTTTAACATGCTAGACTCATAAAACGAACATCTTCGTTTTTGTCGGAAGAAAAAAGAAAGAAATATATGTATCCCATCTTTTTTCCTTTCTTCCTCTTCATGTATTTTGATGTAGTCACAATGTGCTTTGTGACAAATGCTTCAAAGTTAAATACCACCATATAAGTGTCATTTTTTTTTTGTTGAAAGAAAGAAAGAAAAAACTTTACAGACGGCAAACTGTTCTCATAAAAAATTCTCCTTTTTCCTTGCATTGCCAAACTAGACAATACATGAGCAACAACAACAACGATGTCGACATGACACAAGACATGAATTTCAGCTAGAATATTAAGACTATAATATTGCTTGACTTTTTTCTCCTGCATCATGTTCACACTTTTACCATCGTTATATCTTATTGGTGTTCATTATTTTCGACAATGGAAAGCACCTTATTATCAAGAAAAAAATATCGAAGATATATTAGAAATTAATGATAATAATACAAAAGAAATTCAGAAAGATACTCAAATTACTGTTAATCAACCATCCATTCCTGCGAACTTAGATGAAAGCGTTGACAGTATATCTGAAGGAATTAGCGATCAAGATCATGGAATTAAATCTCATAAAAAAAGATCCCATCGCCGACGACGTAAGACACCAACAATTGGACTTAGCCCTGATGATATTACCTATTTAATAAACAAGACAGGATTCACTCGAGAAAATATACTGTTATGGTATGAGGATTTTCTTGTATGTATACATAACTAATTATAAAGAGAAAAAAAAATTACTTGTTCTTTTTACTTTTATTTTTTCATAGCGTGATTGTCCTGATGGCAAACTTTCAAAACAAAAATTTATTGATATTTATCAACAATTTTATAAAAAAGGTCGTGTTACAAAGTTTTGTGAACATGCCTTTCGATTATTTGATAAAGATGGATCAGGATATATAGGTATACTTTATTAGATCATCAAACAAATTAATAGAATATATTTGTTTCTTAGAATTCATGGAATTTCTTTTTGCTATTAGTTTAACAACATCCAAAGATCCAATACGAAAAATTGAACTTTTCTTTTCTATGTATGACATTGATCATAATGGCTTTATTGATCAAAATGAAATGAGATCTGTTCTTGAGGTATACTTTTTTTAATGTTTATTCGGTGCTCGTTTTTTTTTACTTGAAATACAGCCACTACACTAATCGATGTAGTTGATACATAGACATCAAAGCGTGAAGGAGATTGCTGTCACTTAAGTAAAAGAAAAAAGTACCACTTATCCTAAATGCAAATAATTATATTATGCATACGAAAACTCTTTTTTTGTTTTTTAGTCAATTTATGAGTTAATGGGTGTTGACATCAGTGATCCATCAAGAATTGACACAAAGGTTCATGATCTATTTTCTAAAGTTGAATGTGATTCATCTGGATATTTGGGAAAAGATCAATTTGCAAAGGCTTGTGAAATTGATCGACATATACGCAAACTTTTAATGCCAAATACAAAATCATTGAATAATTGATAGAACTAAGTCCCTTCAATTATATGTTCTGTATCGACGATATAAATTGCGTAATTTACATCATCCAATCATATATGATGATAAAAGAATATCTTTCTTTCTTGTACACTATACTAGTCAAGAGAGACACTTGATCTCTTGTTCCACACCGTGAATTTTTTTTTTTTTCATATAATACATATTCTCATATGATTATTTCCGTTTGTTTCTACTATGTATTGATTACAATCATGCTTCGTTTTTTTTCTCGTATTGACATAACAAAATTCGTTTTCACTTCGAATTTTTGTCATAATATGAAAATGTTTGTATGGATGTTGATTAATCATTCTTAATGAAATTCAAACTTATGTTTAAAAAACACGAAACGCGTGATTTTATTAAATTTTTGTTTTGTTTTTTTCTTTCGTTTTGAAATAAGATGCATATAAAGGAGTTAATTAATTTTTTTACGCCGTTTCGAAACCCGATAAGTTCATCATTCGAATGTATAATATTTTATTTTGTATATGTCGATCTAAAATGTCATTCATATATTTCTCTTTCTCTTCAAACGTTTTCATTGATATACTCTTCTTGATTCTTGATAAAATATCTCTGACCTCACATGCATTTATAACTTGCCTTGAAGAATGAAAAATTTTCTTACCATAGATGTCGATCATGTCAAATATGCGCTTGATTTAATATATCATATAAATGCGCACATTATAATTATCATTTGCAACCTTCTAATTAATACTCGGAACTGTTTTTCTTCGTTTTTTGTTTGAAAGATTTGACAAATGCACATTAACGTCATAAATAAATATAACATTTCATATATTTCACATTGAATTGTACTCAAAAACTTACTGACGTATACATTATTACTCTAATAATATATTGTTGCATATAACACATGTTTAGCTTATGCAGATATTTACGTGTTCGTTAAATTAACATCCGTCAATTAGATAGAATTTATCAAGAAAAAAAGACTCTTTTCCAGTATCAAAACAATGATGGAAGAATATATTTTATTTTTATGCAAAGATAAACATAAAAAATAACAATTTTATATTTAAGGATCTTACAATAATCTTTTTAAAGCAAGGGTTTTCTCTTTGTTTTTTATTATCTAAATAAAACAATAGGATATATGTAATGAAAATATAAACCTGATTATGACCTTTATCTTTTCTATCATTAATCATAATTTTATTATTCTGTCGGATTATCGAACAAAAATTTCTTATTTTTGTTCTTTCAAAATTGATAGACTATTCAAAAAATACTTAACTCATAAGACAGTGTATGTCAATGGCCTTGCTAGAGAAAAAAAAATATGAATTTTTATCGAATAAATTCGTACTGCCTTTCTTTTTCATGTTTAAGTACGCTTATGAGAACAAGAAAAAAAAACACAAAAAAAAAAAAAATAAATCGAGTATCATAGGAAATAAATTAAGTGAATATATCTAAGTTAATTTATGATGCTGATGGTGCGAGTAATCTTCGTAAGTAATCATCTTGTAAACAACCAGAAATAAATTCTTCTTTTGATAATTTTCCATCACCATTTGTATCCATTCTTGAAAATATTTGATCAACTTTTAACTGTGGCGTATTTGTACCTTTTCGTTCTTCGCCAAGAAGATCAAAAATAGCCTTTTGAAAAGAAAAAAGAATGACTTAAAAAAACAAAAAAAAATAGAAGCAATTTCATTCTTACATCCATAATTTTTTTCATTTCTTTCTTTTCAATAAAACCATTACGATCAATATCTAATTAACAAAAACAAAAATCCGTCTTTTTTTTTCTTCAAACAAAAAAAATACAAAAAACAAACAACATACCATACATTGAAAATGCCCATTCTAATTTTTTCTTTGGTTCTTGTTGAGCAGTTATCGAAATAGCAATTAAAAATTCACAAAAATCTAGATAAGAATAATAATATTCATTGATTTATGAAATTATTTTTCAAGTTATTTTTTCTTTAGTTTCCTTAATCGAATTGCTAAAAGAAAATTTATATATGTTTGTTTTGTCAACATATATAAACAGAATTTTAGTTGTAGATTTTAATTCACAAGAAATAAATATATTAGAAAAATTTGTTACATACCTATGCTGCCTGAACTATCATTATCAAATGCACGAAAAATATATTCACAAAATTTTTCAGCTTTTCCAGTTGGATAAAATTGTTTGTAAACTTCGATGAATTTCTTTTTATTTAATTTTCCAGTTGGACAATCTTTCTAAAATAGAAGAATAATAGCATAAAATAAATTACTGAGTTAAATGATTGTTGCTGACATGTTCTTAAAGTGCACGAATTCATTTCTATTAATTATTTCTGACAAGTTTTCTTCGCTTGTTTTGTCGTAATTTGCTTTAGAATTTCTTTCAATAGTAAAAATAACTGATCTCGGAAATAGGAATCATTGTGTTTGATAGAATATGCATGCAATTATTCTCTTTCATATGCATTACAGAGCAATAGAAACATACCACTCGACAAGAGATCATTTAAATTAAGGAACAAACTCAGTTAATCTCTTTTGTGTCTGCTCTATGATACACTCAGTATCTAATGAGACTAGTTTGAATACCACTAGATGGGAGAAAAATTCTATTTATAAATAAAAACTTATGTTTTTACTAATACACCATTATTTGTCAATATAAAACACAAGTAAAGTGCTTATTTCACTTCTGATTAAATAATTAGTAAAAACATTGGATATAATAATTAAAATAAAAAAAGTATACATAAAATACGTACTATGAAACCTGAATGCCATTCACGCACCTTTTCTGGTGTAAAACCAGACAAAGTTGATAATTCGATAACATCAGCTTCCGTAAGTGTCTTGCCCAATTTGAATCCTGGTGCACCAGTATTATTACCCATGAGTTCTTTAAATAGGCTTGATTAATAAAA